GAAGGGGCATCCCATTGGTAGTCAAACAACGCCACTCCATAGGTCCGGGAAGGTCCCCCAGACGCATGGCGTCCTATCTCATCACCCCTGCACCTTGCTAGGCTACCATCAGCATTGAGTCATCGCACGGTTCAAAAGTTCGTCCCTCGCCAGCTGTGAAGATGGACACTGGGGCGTCTTGACGACAGTTCGCCGGAACTTCCATTCCGGAGGATGCGCGCCCCAGAGTACACCAACAGCATTGCATAAACGTCAACCGTTGGGGGGGGGGCGGGGGATGTATCTCCATCTTGTTTGTGGAATGTGGGCAAAAGGAAGGCAAAAAATAAATATAACAATAACAAATAATGTAAGGTGCCTCCGCTGCGGCATAGTCCCCTGAGGACAATTGGTAAGCCCCGGTGGGCCGACTTAGTCAAGGTTCTCTCGGGTGGTGGAAAAAGCAAGGTAGAGGCACTCAGGGCATCAGTCTGCAAATAAGATGTAGAGCGTATGGTGGTTAGCCAGGCCCACCGGAGCGGCCGTTCAGTTTAGAAGGTCAGTCATCCAGGCGGATCAAGCAGGCATGTGGGCCCATATCCGCCCAGGGTGCATGGGGCTGTAAATCAGCCTGGGTGATATGCTAGAAACTGCTTAGGCGACAAGGGACAGGGTCAATGCAGTACGTCAACTGTCCCCTCCAGCAGGAGGGTGGCGGGATAGGTCCTCAAGTGGGGGAAAAAACACAGAGTGTGCAGGAACTTTGTTAAGTCGGTCGGTGATCTCAGGACATAGGACCTGCCATCCTTCCGTGCCACCAGGTGGAAGGGGTAGCCCCACCGGTATTGAATGGCCTGCTGTTGGAGCAGTTGTGTGAGGGGTTTGAGCGCCCTGCGTCTGGCCAGGGTATTCCGGGAGAGGTCAGGGAACAACAATATTTGCGCACCATCAAAGTCTATGGGGCCTCTATCCCGAGCCTTGGTTAGAATGGCTTCCCTCTGTTGGAAGAAGTGCACCCTGCAGAGGACATCTCTAGGCAGTTGCTGGGCGGGGGTGCGGAAGCCAGGAACCCTATGAACTCTGTCCAGTTCGATGGGATGAGTGGGTGGGTTGCCCAGGAGCATGTTGAAAATGCCCAAGACTGTGGCTTTGAGGTCTGCCAGGCCCGTCGCCTCAGGGATGCCCCGCAATCTAATATTATTGAGTCTATGACGGTCCTCCTGGTAGAGACAAGTTGAGCAGGGTGTCATGTTGTCTGCCTCCTGTAGTTGCCGGACCAAGGATTACACCGTTGCGGTCGTGGATTCCACCACCTCCAGCCTGCGACCAAAGCCTGCCAGGCCCTCCTTGAGCGCTGCCATATCGTGGCCGTGGGAGGCTTCCAGGCGCGAGAACATGCCCTCCAGCTCCGACTTAGTGGGCAACATAGCGAAATATCGCTGGAACATGTCGTCGTTCCTCAGCGACGCGCTATCGTCCCCAGTCATGGAGGAGTCCGAATCCACCAGGGGCTGTGGGTGTAGAGGGGAGGAGGCCTCGGAGTCAGGGGGATCCCCGGTCTCGCAGCCTAGCCGCGGCGAAGCCACGTGAGAGCCCGAGTGGCGGAAGAAGGCCCCAATTGACGGGATCAGGGCCGGCGGAGTATTCCGGGCTTTCGCCTTGGATCCCATCTTGTTCTACCCATGGGGGTGAGAATGAGGTACGGGTGAGTGTTCCTGAGGCTCGTTCCTGGGTATGTAGCCGGAGCTCTCACTCCATGCGACCGTTCGCGTCCATGAGCAAGCCACGCCCCGAGAGTTTAGTTTTAGTATATTGCAGCTTACCTGTCCAGCAGAGAAAACAAATTTCCCCTAACATGAGAAGTTTTCTTTAGTCCAATACTGTGTGTTGCGGTGCATGCACTACTTTTTTCAATGCAACAGACAGTATTGCAGTACTGTGCATTGCGCTAGGTTGCACCGCAAGGCTGCCGAAAGGTACGTTGGGGTGCCATTTAAATGAAATGCAACACACCTAATGCACAGTAATGCACGCTAGGTGATTTGTGCAATAATATGCATGAATTGCCCTATATCGAGCAATTAATGCTATGCTTAGGTGTGAATGGGCCCCCTAGGCTGGTCATTGGTTTTGGAAAATGCAGGCAAGATCTGACCACACAGACAGAGATCTCGTTCGAGCACTGCAGAGGACTTTGTAAGCTTGTAAACACCACTCTGTTAGCTAATCTCTATATGGTACCAATATTAAAAGACAGCTATAATTAACTTGACTTTAAAGGAGAACTATGAGGTGAGTGCTTTTCACTCACCTCATAGTTCTAGCCAACCTGTGACAATGAGACTGTCACAGGTCGGCTCAGTAGATCGGGAGGTGAGCGAACACATACCGGGTTCGCTCGCCTCTCGATCCTGTCACGGCTCTCTGCCGTGACAGGGGGAGGGGCTGGATTCCCCTCTCCCCGCTCCGATCTGCCAGCGCTGACTGGCGGAACGGACGGGGGAGGTGGCGGGTACAGCTGGCTCTGCCTTTAGATAGGCAGAGCCAGCTGTCACTTACGCAGCTGGGCGGATCCCGTCATCTAAGTCGTCATCCGCTCCGGCTGCGGCGTCTCAGTCTACCGCGAGCTGTAGCTCGCGGTATACTGAGCTTAGGGTAACGGGAGGATGCTAGTTTGTGTCCTCCCATTACCCTAAGGAGAACTATGGGGAAAAACACTGACCCCATAGTTCTCCTTTAAATAAACCTCAAATGCAGATCATACAGAAACTGTGTTTCCTATATGTTACTCTGAGGTCGCATTACATGCTGGTTTTTGCCTACTTTTTGGTGTGGAAACACTAAGAGCAATGGAGGATTATGAGTCTACCCTAAGGATAGGGGTGGCTTGCCTATTCACCTGTAGTCATGGTATAGTCCTGAGAGCTGTGTGTGTGTTTGCTTAACAGGTTGGGAGTGTGATGTAAGTGTTCTTTTATTTTATTTTTTAATTTACTACCCTTTATATGCTTTAGGTGAGCCTCCCCCTGGATTTAGGGATATCCTGCTTCGAGAAGGTCCAGAGGGGTTTGTCAAGGCTATACGCAAGCACCGTGGACTTCTACTCATGGACACAACCTTTAGAGATGCCCACCAATCTCTTCTTGCCACCCGCGTTCGTACTCATGACCTGAAAAAGATCTCTCCTTTTGTTTCACACAACTTCAGCAACCTCTTTAGTCTGGAAAACTGGGGAGGTAAGAAATACTAAAAAAGCAATATATTCTTGAATTATTCTTAATTATTATTTATTAAAGTTCTGGAATAGTCTGTTTGAATTTCTAGTGCATTTGCTATTTGCTTTTCCCTTAAATATTTTTTTATGAAAAGGCTGGGCTTGGTAATTGTGCTGGAATGAGGTATCCGGGATTAGAAGGTTTGATAGTTTTTCAGTGTGTCAGTTCGGATACTGGAGTGAATAAAGTGGACCTATAACAACTGGTATATGAGCAGTCTCGCTACATAATGATGGCACTGATGTGATTTAATTAGAAACATGCATTATCTGGTTCCATACCTGCAAACTTCCTGTGGGATATAGTTGTAATATCCAAGTCCATAGAGATAGCTGGTATGATGTATCGATTTCTAAGCATACTGGATTGATATATACATTGCGGCGCATTTTAGCAACTTAGGAAAAGAAAATCTCCACAAAATCAGATTCTTGGCATAATTTCTCAAAGAATAAAAAACAGAATTGCTCATTATGTGCAAGTTACTCCAGTTTTTATAAATATGCGACAATTGGATAGCAGTTGGATTTAGGTCAGGATTATGTATGCAGTTATACTGCTGGAGGTCTTCAGAGTCTTTCTTGCTCCCACATTTAGTAGCATTAACTATATGGCTGTAATTCTGCTGACAAATTTACTTATTTATAAAAATGCTCAAGACAATTTATTTACTAATTTCTCCATATTTCAGTAAGCTGATTGCTTTGACATTCTGTATTCACTGAGTGCATCCTCTGCTTATGTCATTTATCATATTCTATGTTTTAAATGCCCGGGTTTTTGACATGTTTAATGTAGATGAAAAAACATTTCTGTTAACTGCCAATGGTATGCATGTTTTTTGCAGTGTGTCAGTATTTATTGTCTCTTTCTAAAGGTGCTACTTTTGATGTTGCCATGCGCTTCCTTTACGAATGCCCTTGGAGACGTCTGCAAGAGTTGAGGCAGCTTATTCCTAATATACCCTTCCAGATGTTACTGAGAGGGGCCAATGCTGTAGGATACACAAACTACCCTGATAATGCTGTGTTCAAGTAAGTACAGAACAATTGACAACTTTCGTGTATCCCGTTTTAAAAAATAAAATTAAAATACCCCATTAGGTAATGGTAGTGGGTGAGCTTCTAAAAACAGGAGGGATATTTACGTGGTATCACTTTCACCAAAATACAGGGATTTATTCCTTCTTTTAAGATAGAGGGTAGATTTTTGTAATAATTCTTGCCTGCTACTATGTACCCAGAGCTGCTGTAGTATAGCAAATATACAGCCTAAAATGAAAGAGCCATTTAATCCCTCTTGTATACAGCTCATTTAGGTTTGTGAAGTACCATTAGTGAAAGGTAGGGTTGCACAGATACCAAATACAGTACTCGGTACAAGTACGAGTACATGTACCGATACTTTTGAGCTCCAAGACTACACTAGAGAAAAATTAAAAAATTAGGAGGCAGCTGTCATTTGTAAGGAGCACACAGAGCTCCTGGGATTTGTACATCTCTGTTTTAATGTACGATTTTGTTTTTATAAATATAAATGGGATGAACAGATACCAGTTTTGCGAGTACTGGTACTTGCCGAGTACTTACAAGTACGAGTACTGATACATTTTTGTTTATTGTCATGTGACAGTTGTTCTAAAACAATATCGACTAATGATTTCATGACAGTGGTGGAGCACCAGAGCCATGTCCCAGCTGCAACCCTGGTAGTTCTCATGAAAATGCCAAGTATCTGCACTGGTACTCGAAAAGTATCTGTGCATCCCTAGTGAAAGGTATAAAATATGCAATCTTTAAAGTTAAGGTTTGGAACGCTTAAATCAAGTTTATATTGAGGTAGAAACCTTTGCTGGGGGAAGAATAGAGGCCATCATCATTGTCTTCTCTGTCTGCAAATTCTAGTTGCCTGGGTATCAATTTGGCCATCTGGTTTATTTGGAGCCCAACTCCGGGCTCACCACTCTTGCGCATGTTACTGCAATGTGTGTTAATGCACCATATAATTTAGGGCATTGTGGTTGCACACGCTAAGGGAATGCACATGTACTACAGAACACCTCAGAAATTGGAAAAAAATACCATGAGTTGTGGTGTGCTGCACTTTTAAAAATGGTGCCTGTGCATTTTTTAGTCTGTTCTGGTACCTGGCAGTTCATGTATTTAAATATTATCATGCAAAATAACAGGCATTAACATTATGCACCAGAACAGAAAGGTGTAAATGGACCCACTGTTGTCGCCAGAACATTTGTCCCCACTGCAAGATTTACTTTTCTTGCTCTGGGACAACTCTACAATTTTAGATTCCTCCTAATTTTTTCTCTCAGTGATAATGTTCACCAGAAGAAATAGAGAGGCTGGATCTTCCCAGTAGGGACACAGACAGCAATAAAGACCTAACAGACGGTCTAACCCTTCAACCACTAAAAATTAAAAGAAAAATTATTTACATACACTTTAAGTCACTAACCCAAAGCAAATATGCAGCTGACTGTTCTGACTTTCACACTAGCTCTGGGTTAGTGATTCAGAAAGTATTGAAGCCAACGCATCAGTATGACAGCCAAGCAACCAGTACTTTTACAAGAAGGTCAACAATTACATGCCTATATTTCTCTTAGAAAATATTTACTTTAAAACAATAGTGTTTACATGTTATTTTGAGAAATAATCAAAACACAAGTTAAAGTGGTTCTAAACTCTCCCGTTTTTTTGCCTATATCTACTGCTATCAAGCAGTAGATATAGGCAAAAAGTTTAGTTTTTTTTAAACGCTTTAACAGCGCTTGACACTTACCTTGTTTTTGCTGCGCGCTCCCGTCCAAGAATACGAAACTGCTCCGGCGGCCGCAAAGCATCTTGGGGCAGTTCGGATTCTCGGCCGGGAGACGAGCAGAGACGCAAGATAAGTCTATGGACGCATGCACCCGCATGACGACACCGCTGGATCAGAAGTGCCTGCTAGCAGAGAGGAGTCAGCGCTGGTTCGGAGAGCCGCCGCACCGCTAGAGGGACAGATGAAAACATGGGGGAAGAAGAAGAAGATCGGATTAAGAGACATCATTTAAGGTAAGTGCTAACATTAACATGGGGGGGAGGGAAAAAATTTATCCTTTAATGTCACTTTAATGCAATGTATTAATTTATCATATTTGTGCATACAGATTCATCCATTTTCAGACAACAAACTTTTTCTGGTTCTGTATGATTACACACACATGGTCATATTGGGTATTCTTACCATACAACCAGCTGATGAAGAAAATGCCTTTACTGTTTGTTACAGGGCAAAAGGCAGGGCTGTAGCTACCATGGGGCGAGTGAGGCACTCGCCTCAGGCGCAGCTGAGAGGGGGTGCACCCAGGACCGGCCTGGCTGTCCCCCCCCCACCCCTGTTGCCATGGCAAGCACAGGGCGCCATTGGCAACAGGGGCTCTGGGCAGCCAACACAGCCGCGACCCGGCAGGGAGAAACGGAGCGGCACAGGCTTTAACTTCTCCTCAGATCCCTGCTGCTCTCCCCCACCTGTATGGGCAGAGGACTCTGTGTCCTCAATCTCTTTTTCTATTCCAAAAGGAAAATTTCAGGGGTCTGTTTAGACCCCCAATATTTCCCTGAAGCCCCCCCTACAGTGAAAAATAATAATAATAAAAAATAAATTAAAAAACACACACATATTACTAGACATGTGCGAAGACTAAAAATTTGTTTTGAATGAAATGAACAGAAACTAAAATAGTTTTTATTAGTTTCGTCAAACGAAACAAATTTTTATGCTATTTTGGATTTGGCCACCAGCGCATTCTGAGCATGCGCTCCGCTATCCTGGAGGCGGGGCGCATGACGTCACATACCGCACAGGTCTGTTGGGGAGCACCATTTTCTGTTCTTGCCTCGGGCGCAAAAGGAGCTAGCTACGGCTCTGGCAAAAGGTCTAGAGATTTATTAGTGATATTTTGAATAGGAAGTTTGATGTGACAGTAACATTATACTGCCTTTTATATATGCCTCAAGCTGTGCTATTTCTAGTAGAGCATGCAATATATGACAGGTACATCTTAAAGTGAGAAAAAACTGTGTTGTGGGATTAATGTGTTGATTGTTTGTTTTTTTTTTTAGGTTTTGTGAAGTGGCAAAAGAGAACGGCATGGATATTTTTAGAGTATTTGACTCTTTAAATTACCTACCAAACATGATCTTGGGTATGGAGGCAGCAGGCCAAGCTGGTGGAGTGGTAGAGGCTGCTATCTCCTACACTGGTGATGTTGCAGACCCCACTCGTACTAAATACACATTGGACTACTATCTGAATCTTGCTGAAGAACTTGTAAAAGCTGGAACCCACATTTTATGCATTAAGGTATAACAGTAGTAAATTAATAATTGGCCCTTATGCTTCAGTTTCATAATTTTCATGTATGAGTTCATGCATCATTCTGTCAGCTACTTTGTCTACAATTTCCACTTGCCTAGAGAAATCTGCTTCCAGCAATGTTGCATAAATGCATGATGTCTCAGTTTTAGGAATAATTCTATACATAGCTATGAAAAATTGGATTTTTGTTCTCACCATAAAATCCTTTTTTTGAAAATGCATTAGGGGCACAGGATTCAGAGACATTTAGGTTACATTGCTGCCTTCAAGAGAATTAGAATTGGCACATTTCCCCATGGAGGGAGATCCCACCATAAATTATTATTATACAGGATTTATATAGCGCCAACAGTTTGTGCAGCGCTTTACAATATAAGGAAGACATTACAATTACAACACAATTCAAGACAAGATGGTAAGGAGGGCCCCGCCCCTGAGGGCTTACAATCTAAAAGGGAGGGGGAAGTGATACATGATGAGGGAGCGGTGTGGGGGATGAAATGTTTGAGAAATTGCTATTTCAGTGGTTAGGTTGAGGTCGTATAAGCTTCCCTGAAGAGATGAGTCTTAAGGGAACGCCTAAAGGTAGTCAGAGTAGGAGATAGACGGACAGGTTGGGGTAAAGAGTTCCACAGAATGGGGGAGACTCTAGTGAAGTCCTGGAGGCGAGCATGGGAGGAGTTGAGAAGGGAGCTAGAGAGCAAGAGGTCTTGGGAGGAGCGGAGAGGGCGGTTAGGTTGATACTTAGAGACAAGGTTTGAGATATAGCCGGGGGCAGAGTTGTGGATGGCTTTGTAAGTGTTGGTTAATATTTTGAATTTTATCCTTTGGGTGATTGGAAGCCAGTGTAGGGATTAACAGAGGGGGGTTGCAAATGCAATGCTGCAACTATTTAGTTATGTATAAAACATGACATTTATTGAATACATACGAAATTTAATCTTAAAATATAAAGCACACACATATATTGCACATTATTCCACTCTGCTAATGTAATCAAAAGCGTTCTATAGTAGACCCCTCAAAATCATTCATATGTTAACTCATGCATTTACATTCCTGCATTCATCAACGCAAGCACATTCCTGCATTCATCAACGCAAGCAACACAACGTAGAGCTAATTTACACAACATCACCTTGCAATTCATGTAGGGCTTTGCACAACACACCTGCTGGGTGTGTACACACTACAAAGGTGTCTAGATTCCACCAATAGATCATGCTGGGAGGGAACACACTACAGAGGTGTATACTTGTTCGTGGCATGTTTATAAGGTTAGTAAATCAACCCCAGAGAGTGTAGTACCTGGGTCTCTCAATGAACTTCCAACAAAGGTTTTTTTGATGAGTACAAAAATCCAATTTTCTTGCTCATTCATTGAGGGACACAGGATGCAGAGACCTAATCAATAAGACCATAAGCTTGAATGATGATTTGTCTGAGCCCCTGAAGCTGGTTACCCTTTGTGGGGACCATCATGGAGGATAAAGAGGCAAGCAGTCTTTTTAATGGAAGCAGGGTCTGTGTGGTAGACACAAAAAGCATGAGCTACATCTAAACAATGAAGGGAAATCTTCTGATGTAAGACAAAGACACTGCGCTTCCTTCTTTTACAACACGAATTATCACTCAATGGGATATACTTTCTCTTCTTCTAATCCTGACTGTTTGGATCATCTAGAATAGTCGGAAGAAGAATGGGAGAGTTTTTTCTTCCTTTTTTTCGTTTGTTTTCGTTTTCACAGATTTTTCTACACTGGTTTTTGAAACACCAATTTATGATATTAATATTGTTATTGGCTGCACCTACATATTAGATGATATATCGTTTATCACTTATTTTGATTATTATAATATTATATGAAGTTCACTGTTTGGTCTTTACTAGGAGATATACACTGCCACATGTTTATAGTGATAGTTTGTTTCACAGTTCCATGTGAGGATACATGGTATATCATACACTTCAATCATATTATACGAAGTGGTTCACTGTTTGCCATATTGTGACATTTGTTTCATTTATTTAAGGATACATGGTCTGTTATTCATTTTGATCATAACATATCAAGTAGTTCACTGTTCACATTTTCTAAGAAATATTATATTATCACATTTATTATCACATTTGATTTTAGATATATGTGGTACAGATTTGTTGTAAATAATTCCACTCTTGCAAAAGTGTTTCACATATTTTATTATTTTTCACAAAATACCGTTTAGGTTGGGAATGCACATTGTTGGATGTAATACCGTGATGCTGTTAGCGCTATACTGTTGATTGTTTGATTTGTAAGGCCCACTGCCTGAGTTATAGCAGCTTCTAGCAAGTCCGGTTTTTCTTGTTTTTTGTTCATAAGCGCAGGTTTTTTGTTTTTCATTGTAGTAAAAGGATGAAATTTCCTTTGAAAGGAAGGGGGCTCTAGGGCTTAATATTACTTTGTCCTCGTGTAAGAACAGAAAAGGTTCTCTACATGACAAAACCACCAATTCAGACCTTACAGTGTTTAAAGGTGACAAGAAACAAAACCTTGTGAGCGAGAGTGGAATGGGGAATATTATTGATATATTCAAAGGGCAGTTTTTGAACAGCCAAGAGAACCAGATTTAATCCCTATGGAGCCACAAGTGGGCACACAGGGCCCAAAGAGCATTTGCCAATGTTCGATAAGGTCAAAGTAGCACATCTGCCTAGGGCCAGTTTGGAGCAAATAGTATCACCAACTCCAAATATTTCTATTGTAGCATTTATACTACAAATATTTCCAACATTTCGCATAATTTCTCAACTGTTCGGTATTTGCATCCAGCATTTGCGACATTAACCACTTGCTGACCGTGGTGTTTACACCCCCTTCCTGTCCAGGCCATTTTTCAGTATTCAGCACTGCGGTACTTTGATTGACGTTTATTCCGTCATGCAACGCTGTACTTAAATGATTTTTATACCATTTTTTGGGGACAGATAGAGCTTTATTTTGGTGATATTTAATCACTGGGAGTTTAATTTTTTTTATATAACAAAAAAAGTACCGAATATTTAAAAAAAAATGTTTTTCCCTTTATTATTTTAGAAAACAATTCTTTTTACCCAATTTTTTGGTAAAATATAAAAGGCGGGGTCACGTCGGGTAAATAGACACCAAACATGTCAAGCCTTAAAATGTTGTGCTCCCGCGAAATTGCAAAAAACCACCATAACCAAAATTTGCCATAGGCGACGCTTTAAAAGATTTTACCGCTCATGAGTTTAGTGTTATCAGTGATTGATGGCTCTAAAATTACTGCTCTCATTGCGACGTTCGCGGCAATATGTAACACGTGCAGCATAATTGGAGCAATCGCCGTTTTTGCGTGTAGGCGCATGTAACGCATTTTTGCGCATATATGTGGGGGTGGGGGACTTCTAAAAAATTTTGTGTTTTTTTTTGTTGTTTTGTGTGTAAATTTGTATTTAGTTTGTGAGCATTTTTTTTGTTTACACTTAACTTTATTGTTATCACATAGGTTGCTCCTATGTGATAACAAATTAAAGTTACAGGTCCACTTTATGGAGACATCAGGGGTCTCTAAGACCCCTAATGTCACCTAGGGACCCCCAGAGAAGCTGATGAAGCACAGATCTGCTTCATCAACTTCTATCCAGTTTCTGTACAGGAGAGTTAGAGAGGAATGCGGAATGCTCTGAGCCTGATGAAGGGGACCCTCTGAGGCCCCGAAAGCGCTTGCATTTGAATGGCAATGTGCCAATAAATGGACTATTTCTTGATTATCCTTTGGAGTGCTGGTGACGTTATTTTCGGTCAGCAAAGAAACACACACCATAAACTGGAGGTTTAAAAGAATGTATTGTAACAGGAATTTAAATATACACCGCTTGATTATTGATAAAGAAACAATTACAGTAATAACAAAAACACCAAATCATATCAAAGAGGAACACTAGCACCACAATAGCAAACCAACAAAATTAAATAAACTACTAAACCAGGGAAAAGACTAACCCAACACCTCTACAACACAAGCATTATATTGTAAACTGGCTGGCATAACTGGTCAATTGAAGGTACGGTTATTACCCATCTTGTAAGATGTACACAGATTCTGCACTCTGGTTCCCAAAATGGCTTCCTCTCAGATGGCCTCCTCTCAGCTGGGCCTCTCGCCCAAAATGGCTTCCTCCTCTCAGGACCTCTGTCCCAAAATGGCTTTCCTCTCCAAGAAGGCTTCCTCTAAGAAGGGCCTGTGTCCCAAAAATAGTTTCCTTCCTCCCAGGGCCTCAGCCTCTTTATTCTAACTAAAGCTTCCAAATTACCACTCGGTGTAAAACCACTTGTACATTTTAACATATCAAGGTGCCCATTGATCTCAAAGAGATATGCACGTTATCTTGTGTTAATTTCCTACACAATGGATACTCCCAAAATACCACTTGGTGTAAAACCACTTGTACATTTTAACATATCAAGGTGCCCCTTGATCTCAAAGAGAACAAAAGGGTTGAGATCTGCAGGGCATATTAGCATGCTAAAAAAAACCTAATTCCTTTTTATTTACAAGCCCAATTACAATTCGATTCACATCTGTGGCAACCGTACATCCTTTTGTCAAGTTACACCTTCTTTTTAATATTCTTTATTTATAAGTACAGGGGTATGATACAGAAGACAGAGATCCATTGGCCCGGAGGCTGCATATATGTACATAACTACAACAAAATCAACCAAACTTGCATAGCCGTTCCCGGGCTGGTGTAGTCTCATCCATCTTACACCTCGGATCTGCCCATCCCTCCACACCACAACCCCTTGAACTTTTTGTAGATATATTCAGAATTTTCCCGTCAAAGGCACGAGGGGTGATGGCTGGGGGGAGATACCTACCAAAGGAAGCACCTTGCTTACTGCCTGCATTGTGGCTCGGACCAGAGGGTTAGACCAGTGGGTCAGTGGCATCTTGGGAAAGATCCAAGGGGCATT